GTGTCTTCAGAGCAATTGGCCCCAAGTAAGACAAAGTTCTCTGCAGAGCTGCACACACGCTGACCACAGTTTAGGAAACTAACTAACCAAGCCAATGCTTGGTCATCCTTTCCAAAGGGTGCACCATCCCCCCCTATGGCAACTTTAAAAGTTCCCTCTTGCTTCCCAAACCAGTTAAGCTTATCCTTCCTGTAATTGTTGGCACTGAGATAAAATTGTGCCATTTTCAACAATAGCTTTAAAAGGTCCTTGTATTTCCCATTAACTGTATCTTCTTCCTTGAGCCCTTGGCAAAGTGTTTCCCTTACATCATGTAAATCACCTGTGTCTATTTGATTAATTTTTTTAAGTGCCTCTTTATAGAAAGAAGTCTTGGTACTGGAAAGTTGCTCATGAATTCAATATGCTTTCTTTTAACCCCAGCATCATCTAAGCACATTGTTAATGATGTCCTTATTGAATTATACTTCTGCTTGTTTGCAATGCCACACCTGTACAAAATATTTACACTTCTAATAAAATTTGTTTGACTTTTCTCAAAAATATTAATCTTCTGTTTTACAATTTTAGGAATAACTTTCTTTGTGAACTTAGCACATTTTATCATTACATCACTCAATACTGACAATGGAGCACTTTCATTCAAAACTGCCATCAGACCTGCATATGCTGGTGTCATATTCTCAGCAGTGGCTCCATGCAACATTTTTGCAGCATTTAATGTCTGCAGCCTCCTTAGTCTTGCACTACGGCCAGGGCCAGAGATCTTCCCATCATCTCCCAAAATTGTTGGAGAGCGGGTCCTCCTGTCTAAAAGGTTGTCTGTAACAGAGATCTGAAGAAAACAGAAAATTTTTATCATGCAAATCTTCAGTTTCACTTCAGTGCATGACTCCACAGCAAGAGTAAATCGGACACCACTCTATTGATAAATTGTTCGCATGGAATAAAAAAGCTTTCTCCAAGAATATAATTTTCTAAAGAGTATATACCGGTAATATAAGAGTTGAACGTACTGACCTTTTCTTTCACATTTTTGTTATCCTCATTCACCAATTTTGCCTAAAACACAACAACAACATACGTCCAGTTTGGCTAAAATCAAAGAAAAGCGGAGAATTTCATGAGAATTTTCAAAAGAATTGCTCATTTCAGCAAATTTAGCGGTAAAAGGCACTTTAACTGCTTTCCGATTTATATTGTATTTCTCTTAACTACATTTGAAGATGTATGTGTGCAGGGTTAGGAGAATCAAGTATTTGATATTCAATCTTGTTTACCTTAAGCTCGAGTCGCTTTAATTTCCTTGCCTTTTTCGTAAACTCTTTATCACGGGCAAGGGCAGACACAAGAAGGGCATCTTGGTTCCGTTTAACCTCCAAATATTCATTCAAAGGAAAGCGATTTTTCTGTCCTTTCCTTGGCGGCATGTCGCCGCGCTGTTGCAACGCGTCTTTATCCACATTCTGTTGACAAAGTGAAAGCCGCTCGCTTAGTAAACCTCAAAATGCTTGAAAGTCCAGCAATGGTAGCCGTTGAAAAGTTCAGATATCAAGGAAACGAGACAAAAATAAAAAATTCTGAATCGGACAAGTCATCACCAATGAACGCATGATTCCGTAGCTTTGTCCCTTGCTTCTGGCCGTCTTGTCATTTTTAAGCTTAAATCTTTTTAAGATGCCTCAAAAATAGGCTTTGCTTTACGACGCCATGACAGTCTCCTCTTTCCAACCAAAGGAAAACCAAAAATAATTCTACTATGCCGTTTTTAGTATGAAATTATCGCTCTTGAATGGAACTAGAAGTTGGTTCCAAATTTACCGCGCTTTGATTGAACCATAATTCATAGAGACCCTGCGAAGTTAACCATTTCCCGGCTTTGCGCCAGACCTCCCCACGGCCAACATGGCAGCGGGAAAAAAAATGGAAAAACATATGGCCAAAAAATACACCAGAAATCCCCAGCGTGTTACATTTTACAAAACCAAATATTACAGTCAAACAAAGTGAAGCATACTCTCAAGATTACTGTACATTAGTGAACTGATCATTTAAATATTGAACCAAATAGCCAAATTCATTCTAATAACATGCTAATCACTGTTCAAATGAGAGGTTGATTTCTGATTTGAACAAAGACCTGTGCCATTTCAAAACAAATCAAAGTGGCTATTGCTTTCAATATTCAAATACTTAGTTGATTAATGTTAATTCATTTTAAGTTTTCATTTGAATCCTAATTTTCATAAGCGAGTTAAATATTCAAATATTCAATTCATTACTCACAAGTGCGTGTTAGACATAAGACAGGGTAATGTCCAATTGGTACAATAAGTTATCTCTGGAAATATAAAAGGAAAGATCTAGAAATTATAAAGGATGATTATTTCGCAGATAAGTGATATACTGTGCTTATTCGACAACTTCATTGTCAAACATTGAGGAAGTCGTATGAGAATCTGCAGCTTGGGGAATTTCAAACTTTTCAACAGTGTCCATTATATTTCTGTGGATTTTAATGCAGAAATCTTAACTAGAGTTAAAAAGGAATAACTTGAAGGTACCATGTTACTTCTTTGGAAAGGGGAAATAGAGCAACGATGATAGTTTTAAGGGTACAACTGCTCCAGTATTTCATTCTGACTTGATGATGTTGAATCTGTATTGTCAGTATATTTTTTTTGTTAGAATTGTTCTGCTTTCATCTGCATCTATGAATTATTGGTTGAATTTACAACAAAGAAACAAGAAGTGTCTTGGAAGTATGTGTAAGCAAATAATTTGGTAGGTCTGAAAACATTTCAAATAAAATTAGATATTGATTAGGAGTGCACTGAGGACAACATGTGCAAGAAATGCTTGTATGAAGGTTGCAAAGACTTGTACCATTATCTTCTTGGAATAAAAATATTTTGCAGCATGTGTGATGACGAAAATGTAAGAACTTGCATGGTGCCTTCATGATCTGATGAAGAACACTAATAGCAAGAGAATGATGTAAAGTATGGCAACCAAAGAAATGTACCTAGAATTTTACACACAGGTAAAAATATGAACTTAACAGGCAGGTACTTTAGACTGAAGGCCCAGTTAAATGTACTGCAAGCACCTCCCTACAAAGAGGGTCTGGGGCATGCTTCCCCTGAAAATTTTGAAATTCAGGCTGTAGGACAAGTGCTTTCTTTGATTTTGGAAGGTAACTTTGGGGCCATTTGTGATTTTCCCTTCCACAAAAATAATCTCAAATATGTACGTCACCTGATGTACTAACTGAAATACATAACTGAGTTTATATTATTTTACATACATGAGAAAATGCTACTGGCCAATGAGCCTTTTACTTGAAAAAGGGATTGATTATTTGACTACTTGAATTGGAGTTGCCATGATCTTGTTGCTTGGTGTGAGACAATTGAAGAGAAGGGAGATTCAAACAACCAACAAATGAAACAGCATTTCTCTGAAGACTAGTCTGGGAAGCCAGAAGTTATTTAAAAGATCATACATTCATATAAAGCTAGAAAAATAACCTTGCCAGCAGGATAGAAGTGAGTGAAGTGAAGTGAAGTTAAGTGAATGATTCGATACCTTAATAGCAGCAAGGTCTGAATTGCTAAAGTCTACAGTATTACTAAGGTTGAGATTGGACGTCACCATTATCAGGCGCCTCTGGCAGCCGCTTCAGTCCATGTAACGATCTCATTCCCCCACACATCCCACCCCAGGGGAGGACATCCATCACACAGTAATCTCGTGCGTGGGAAATTAACGTCTCCTACCCCTAACCCTGCAGGAGACGGGGCCTCCATTTATTCGTCCTTATCCGAGAAGACTAGAATATCTATCCATTTCATTGATGTTATAGAAAGGTAAGAAATTCTCCTCAGTTATTTTAAGACCATGAGTATTGGTCCAGCCGGGGCTCGAACCCTCTACATCCTGCACAACACAATCCAGCGCTCTAACCAATTGAGCTAACCAGGAGGTTAGCAATACTTTCAATCGGTTAGGGATACTTTCTTCAGCTGTCATGGTACCTACATCCTTGAACAAAAAATTACTCTTCCAGGTCTGAACTCTACCAGCAAGTCTGTCTGAGCTCTTCCATCAATGTTCAGCGAGAAAATTATCTGATCTGTGATGGGAGAGGAACTTCTTATCCTTTCTTAATTGGCTAGTGCATTTAATATCATACCAAATGGTTATCATGAACTAGTTGTTGTTTTGATTTTTCTGTTGAGTGATACATGGCAAATGATGTCAAAACGTGGTAAGCACAAAAAAAGTGACACCTAGAAGGGCAGTCGCACATTTTGACGCCACCTGTGATCTATTAATGCAAAGACCCAAGGACACATAGAATCCAAAAAGCAAAATGCTGTAATTGGTAACATCATCTGTGCGTCCGCCTTCCAATAGACCATGGGTGATAACCAATCAAAATGCGTGTATAACTCAACTTATCACCGGTACTTACAATGCTGATTGTGACGAGCACATTGTCCCACAGGCGGCCCAGGCTCTTTTACAGTGGATTATTAAAGAGTTTGTATAGTGCTTTAGTTAGACTTGCTTTTGAGCTCCGCAAATATAAAGTTGTGTGAAATAATCAAAGAAATAAAGTCTTACCTTCATACAGAGTAGTCTGTGCTGTTCTTGTCGCGATTTTAGGCCGTTTTGCTGTGTTTCCGCTCAACGCCCTAACACTACCAAGTAAAAGGGAAGGCAGAAAACCTGTCTCACACACGCTCGCAAAAATCGCTCGAAAAACACACTTAAATACTTCCCATTGAATCGAAACTTGGCAGCACGAAAGCAAAATAGTTTCCCTTCAAGGTCATCAAAACAAATCCCACAAAAGTTGGGTTGTCGAGCAACCAGCCCAGCGAAAATCTCAAATTGACCGCCATTTCAACGCCGTTAGAATGCGCGTCCGTCAAAACCTGTGCAGTTAAAAGTCCGTTGTGAGGCGGTCAGCCTGGACACTAGCAAAACTAGGCCCAACGAGTAGCCCCACGATATGAATGATTCAGTCAGAAATAAATACCAACCCACACGCGGAGTGACTATTTTGCTAAATGGCTATTGTCAACCGTGGCCAATGTTTAGCAAAACAGCTAGCCATTTAGCAAAATATACCCTCCACTTGTGGGTTGGTATTTATTTCTGACTGAATCATTCATATCGTGGGGCTACCCGTTGGGCCTAATTTTGCTAGTGTCCAGGTTGACCGCGTCGTAACGGCGTTGAAATGGCGGTCAATTTGAGATTTTCGCTGGATAGGTTGCTCGACAACCCAACTTTTCTGGGATTTGTTTTGATGAACTTGAAGGGCAACTATTTGGCTTCCGTGCTGCCAAGTTTCGATTCAAGGGAAAATAATTAAGTGTGTTTTTTGAGCGATTTTGGTGAGCGTGTGAGACAGGTTTTCTACCTTCCCTTTTACTTGGTAGTGACAGGACGTTGAGCTGAAATACAGCAAAACGGGCTCAAATGGCGACAAGAACAGCACAGACTACTCTGTATGAAGGCAAGACTTTATTTCTTTTATTATTTCACGCAACTTTATAGTTTACGGAGCTCAAAAGCAAGTTCAACTAAACCACTATACAAACTCTATAATAATCCACTATGAAAGAGCCTGTGACAGAGCCTGTGACAGAGCCTGGGCCGCCAGTGATTGTTCTCACAATCATCTGCTTAGCCCCATAGCAACTTTGTGTTCTGAAAATATGAAAAAAAAAAAAAAAACGCTTAGAAACAAAATGTGCATAGTTATAATCATTTAGCAACTACTTAAGAGAAATAGGAATGCCTCAATGTATTCTTGGATGAAGTGACCACTTTCACTGGATCGAGAACTGTCTGTTCATGCAAGTTTCACGGAAATTCTATCTGCAATGAACCGCACTAGTTACTACACCAGTAAATGACAGTTTTACTTCACAAACGTTTTACCTTAGGGATTTACGAACAACTTAAATTCTTGCATCACTGAAATTTCGAGTAAAAACCCCAAGAAAACTGTTACTTTTGCGCGAACATGAAAGGCAATTCAGGAACACTATAGCTTTAGTGGCCGCCATGTTGGATTCGAAGAAGCTGAAAAGACTGGTAAGGAGTATTCCCAACAGAGGACTCGTGGCAAGAAAATGACTCGTTATTAATTCAGTCTTGCACCGTTTATTATTGTTTGGTAGTTGTTCGGGTTAGATTTTTTTCTACTCTCAGGGCTGGTGCTTTAAGGTGCCTCGTTACTACTCGAGACTGCCTTTTTACCTTCGCTAACGTGGAACGGTGTATCAGAAAACAACCTTGCGGTAAAGTTTGTTTGCATATTTGATGCAAAGCTAAGGAAACGATGCAAGGTACACACGCACATACGTAGATAATCTCTAATTTAAGAGTTTTTCGAGTAATTGTCGCGCATCAAAGTAATAATAAGAACTCTATTTGGGGAGAAAGACAGACAGTAGAAGAAGGTGTCTGGTACTTCCTAACAGTAAAGTGGGTAAACAGGGAGCAGGTGGAGAGTATGAGTGAATGATTCAAACAAGACTTCCTTTAAGTAAGGGTGCAACTTTGAAAAAAGGGGCTGAGCTCCTTAAGTGGCTTTAACTCCAGTATGTTCCCAGATGTCATCAAGACGCTTTCGTTTCTTTCTTTACTTCTTTAGGTTTTTCGTTGTTTCTGTTATGCCATAATTTCAGCATACTGTGTATAAAAATGACTTAGAGCGTATATTATTGATTAACAATATTATACTGTATGCAGCAGCTGCAGTACTAAATGAGAATAACCCCTAATGACGCCGCAAGCAGAATTCTAAGTCCTTTTATTAACTTCGTAAAATAAACGTCCCCCATGGGTGGAATTCTTAATTTCCATAGCAAATCCAACCAGTTATCGCCTAAATAAATGCTTACAGCTACTACGAGCGCAGAGGAAAGTTAATGTCCATCCAAAGACAATTCGAATTAAAAAGAAATAGTTCAAGATGTTCTATTCATACGATTGCAAGATAATACTGCATTCTAGCCTGTTGGAAAAAGCTCGCACAGTTTCGAGAATTAATTATTACTAGCCGGTGAATAATTCGTCAAGGATAGCCTAGTGTAACTCCTTTCTTAGCGAGTAAAAAACTTCATGTTGTTGAGACTATTCAGTACATACGATCTTACTGCTTGACGAGTCAAAAGATACATCCTTTAAATATCTATTTGATATGTCGGATTCACAGAAAGTAAGGTTTACGTAATCAGAGTACAAATAAAGACGTAGTTAACACAATAAACAGATGCAGTTGTGTTGTGCGTATTACAAACAAACAAAAATGATGTCCAGTGACAATGAAACAAAAGTGTAAATTAAATTGTTAAAAAAATTTCTTTTCTCAATTGAACGTTTGCACTTAGCTAACGTAATGAATCACTCACGGTATGAAACATTTCTAAATTCACATCAAGATGGGATTTTAAGGAAAATAGGAAAAAGGAAAGAAAAGTCGTGCTCTCTGCTAACTTTGAACTTTTTTCCGCTTGATTTAGGGGCCAATTATGACGATTTTATATATTATTGCGTTCCACCTTGAGGGCGTTTAAGCCTCTTGGAATACCGCCTAAAAAAGTTCACAGAGCCCTTTTAAACATGATTACCAGTTTCCTCATGAATAACGAAACGAAATAAAGGCTTCGTTGTTAAAACGAAAAGTATCTCCTCACAATATTGAGCTTAAACACTAAAAATAAAGCGAGTCGAAAGGGATCGCCAAATTGAAAATACATATATGATTTTAGAAAGGCTTTGTTGTCAGCACTGACACTATATCACATGAGACCAAACTGCTTAGTCAGGCGTTTGGACCATAGCCATATGTTATGCACGAGTCGATGTCACCCTTCACCACTGTAGTATCGAGAGTATCAATCTCGAACAGAGCTAAAGTAAAATGAACTACAACGCGCTGCTTGTAGTAAAAACCTTACTTTTTAATAAAACTCTCTCTCCGCAATCACGTGATCCAACATGATTGATTTACGACATTATATCCCTCCTTTTTTTCGGATGAGAAGAACACAAGGTGACTAACTGCATTTTAAGTGATAAACGTCCTAAAGTTCTCAACAAAACAATATCCATCGTTCAGTAATCAAAGTTCAATAATCAACATTCAAGCTGAATTTAAACTGAGATCTCTTTTCCTTCAAACACTTCATATAATGTCAACGTTCTCAGAGAATCAGAAAAGTTCCGTTTCCAGCCTATTTCTCATAGATGATTTGTACATAGTCTGAAAACCTGACAGGAGGTTTGATCTGTCGTTTCGATCGTCTCGGCAAGGCGTCAGCTTTCATTTCGGATGGATATTGTGTCTTTTCTTCATCTTTCCTTCCACCATTCTCTTGGCAGGGTGCAAGATGTTTCGGAATAACTTTGAACTGCGATGAATTCTTCGTAACATTCTGTGAGCAATTACTCGCTGCGACCATGGTACCTTTCTGTTCCTCCACGATGAATGGTTTTGGATTGTATGGAGTGCTGAGGTTGTTCTGTTTGGTTGTCTAATAGATACAACTTCTCCTGGCTTAATCTCTCGCTCTTGAGCATGCGCTTTGAGATCAGCATAGACCTTCATTTTCTGCTTTTGCAGAGTATCTCTCTGGGCGATGCTAGCTGACGGATCTGGAAGTGAGCATCGTGATAGCTGGTGTTGGGTGATTGCTAACTCTGGTATTGTGGTCTTGAGTTATCTGCTGTTTAGGGCTTCACTTGGAGACACATTGATGGTGGAGTGAGGTGTTGCGCGATATTGCCGTAAGAACTTGTACAACTCTTGCTTCCAATTTTTGCCTTCTAGGTGAGAAATTCTGATATGCTTTTTCGGGGTCTGAACCAGTCGTTCTGCTTCTCCATTTGCTCTTGGCCAATAAGGGATGATCCGTCTGTGCTTGAATCCTAAGTAGTCAGAAAAGTTCTTAAATTCATGACCATTAAACGGTGGACCATTGTCACTTTTCAGGACATAAGGAATACCTTGTCTTGAGAGTATCGCATCAAGTTTAGGGATCATAACTTTTGCTGATGTTGAGGTAAGTATTTCTACTTCCGGAAAACGGCTCAATTCATCTGTTACTACCATGATGTAGTCACTAGATGGGAACGGTCCAGCAAAATCCGCTGCGACTTCTTCCCAAGGTCCGCTAGGGAGTGACGTCATTCGAAGAGGTTCAAACGGTGGTGACTTGGTCGATGCGGCTTGACATGAAAGACAGTTTTTGACCTTCTCTTCTGTTAGTTTGTAAATTCCGGGGAAACACACTTTGTCTCTGACGAGTTGCTTTGTTTTGACAATCCCTTGAGGATTACCATGTGCCAGGTCTACTGCTTTACTACTGAGGGTAAATGGTATCACAATTCTGTTTCTTCTCAATACTAGTCCATTGAACACTGATAATTCTTCCTTGAGCTTCTTGTATTTCTGGTCGTCTGAGACATTCCATTGGCCAGTTTCCACAGCCTTGATGACAGCTTGCATTTCTGCTTCATTTCTGGTTTCTTGTTTTATTTCTTTGAGTGTCATTGCTCTTGGTACAGCATTAGAGCATACATAGCTGGCATGATCTTCAGCCAGATTTTGTTCCTCTGGTGCTGTGGGACACGGATGTCGGCTCATGTAATAAGCAGGGTTTTCGGCATCTCTTCCAGGCCGATAGATCAGCTGACAGCCGTGGGGCATGAGTCGAAGTTTCCACCTTTCCATTCTTGGGGAGGTTTGCTTCTGGTTCTTGAAGATGCCAATGAGAGGTTTATGATCAGTAATAACAGAAAACTGGGCACCATAAACATTCAGATGAAACTGTTCCACTCCCCATACTACGGCAAGCATCTCTCTCTCTCTCTCTCTGCTTAGAAGTAGTGAATTTCCACGTCGCTCAAAGCACGACTCGCATAACCAAGAATTTTGCCTTCTTGTACTAACAGTCCACGAAAACCAGTTGGACTCGCATCGACAATGATTTCGGTCTTATTTCTTGGATCAAAGTAAGACATAACTCGATCTCCAACGAGAGCTTCTTTCAGCTAGTCCAATGCATTTTGTTCTTCTTGCACCCATTTCCAAGGGTTATCCTGTCGGGTCAGCAGGCGCAAAGGAGTCGTGGTTGTGGCATAGTCTGATATGAATCTGGACACGTACTGCGCCATACCAAGAAAAGACGTCAGTTCACTATGGTTCTGAGCAGGTTGTACCTCATGGATTGCTTTAACTTTCTTTGGATCAGGTCTAACACCGACAGAGCTAAAAATGTGACCATAGAACTTGATTTCAGTTTTGGAAAACGAACACTTGTCTTTGTTCAGACGGAGGTTGTTTTCTTTAAGCCACTGTAGAACACCACAGAGATTCTTGTTGTGTTCTTCCTGGTCTTTTCCAAATACTATGATATCATCTGAGATGCTTTTACTTTCTGGGAGGCCAGTAGGGAGTTCCCTGATTGTTTCCTGGAGAATTTCTGACGCTGCATTAATTCCGAAAGGCAGAAGTTTGTATCTTCTTAGGCCAGCATGTGTACTGATGGTTGTGACATGACGGCTTTTAGGTGATAACTCAAGCTGGTGATATCCTGAGGACAGATCTAATGTACTGAAAAGCGTTGCACCATTCAAATCAGCAATAAGGTCATCAATGGTTGGTATGAGTTGCCTTTCCCGCTTAATTGCTGGGTTTGCCTCACGCATATCAACACAGATTCTAACTTCTCGTGATTTCTTGAGGACTACAACAATTGGACTGATCCAGGGAATGGGCCCTTCAAATTTCTGGATGATGTCGAGTTTCTCAGGTCTCTCAAGCTCTTTTTCGACATCGTCTCTAAAATGGAATGGAATTCGTCTGTGGGGTTGCCGTCGGGGTGTAACATCGGGGTCAATGTGTAACTTCACTTGTTTGTTTGGTACTTTCCCTATGCCTCCAGACAGTGATTTGAACTCTTCTTTTAGAGACTCCGGGTCGTCTTTGTTTCTTTCAGTGACGGTGGCAGTATTAATAGAAACTGCAATCAGACCTAGTTTTTTCGCAGTGTGATAGCTGAGAAGGTTTCCGTTTTCTCCTTTAACAACAATCAGCTGGGCAGAGGTGCTGGCGTGGCTGGATTTCACGGTTGCAGTGAGGATTCCCAGGGTAGGACGAGGGAGTTGGCGTGAAACATCTTGGCGTGAACAGGTTGCAGGCTTTCACTGCCGTGACTGTTAATTCTTTGAAAGGTTGTTTCATCTAGAAGGTTAACAGATGCACCCGAGTCGATCATCATATTCACGTTTTTTCCATTGATTTGTAGCTGACATATGGGTGGCTTCTTGTTTTTGTGATGGTCGACAGTGTAAACGTACTCATATTCTTCATCATAAGTTAGACCAGTTTCCACGGAGGCCCCGGTACGAGGTTTTGAACGACAAACATGAGCAAAATGGCCAATTTCCCCGCAGGTCTTACAGATTTTTCCTTGCGTAGGACAGGGATTTTTGTGAGGTGCGTACCCGCCACAGTTGCCACATTTTCTAGAAGATTTGCCTTACTTATTTCCAAAACAACGATTGCGTGACTGTGTGTCACGCCGGTCGCGCGGGCGGCTTTCCCGATTCTCTTCCTTTCGTTTGATTTTTTTGACGGCTTTGAATTCGCCTCCGGTATCTTCTACGTCTTTAGCTTGTTTTTCACTAAGTTCTAATGCTCTTCCTAGACTCAATAAATCTTCTCACGTTGGGTTTTCACGTAGCGCTCGGCGTCTAAGCGAGCTGAAACTGCACGTCAGAATAATATGTTCTTTAATTTCTTTGTTTAACTGCCTCCCGGCTAGCTCAATTGGTAGACCGCCGGACTGTTGTGCGGGAGGTGGTGAGTTCAAATCCGGCCGGACCAACAATCAGGGTCTTTAAATAACTGAGAAGAAAGTGCTGCCTTTGTAATAATATCTGCAAATGGTTACACTTTCTAGTCTTCTCGGATAGGGACGATAAATGGAGGTCCCGTCTCACTAGCCCTTGTATGTGATAAATAAATTTGTGGGACGTTAAAGAACCCACACACTGTTCGAAAAGAGTAGTGCACGTAGTGCCCGGTGTTGTGGTCTATCTTTGTGGAGTGTCTATCGAATGGATGGGGGGGGGTTCTGCGCCTTTGAATATTGTATAGAAAAGGCGCAATATAAATAAGGAATTCATTCATTTGTTAACATCGCTGAATTCGCAGGTTCTCGCGAGTTGGCGAAGCCTGGTGGAAAAACTATCGAGCGATTCACCCTCTTTCTGCTTCGTATGGCGAAAATTATATACTTCATATGTGGTGTTGACTTGTGGGGAGAAATACTCGTTAAGTTTTACGACGGCTGTGTCATAGTCGCCGTCTTCTCCAGTGTTTGGTAAGGTGTCGAATGTTTCGTCTACGTCGGTGCCGGCATAATGCTGCAACAAAGCCCGTTTCCTTTTCGCAGCTGTGATGTTCATTCCTATAAGCATTCGTTCTAAGCGTCCTAACCATCTTTTCCATCGTGGACCTGCACTGCCATCGGCATGGACGTCGAACGGTGGAAAACTTGGTAGCGAAACCGCCATGAGGTCTCACAGAGTTGAGCGCGTCACAAACAGCACGTGCTTTCAAGAAAAATTTACACAGCGAACTCTTCAATGAAAATCAGTGTTGATGTGAATATTGACGGTGGGATTCTTGAATTTTTACATCCTCGTCGCCAAATGTAGTATCGAGAGTATCAGTCTCGAACAGAGCTAAAGTGAAATGAACCACAACGCGCTGCTTGTAGTAAAAACCTTACTTTTTAATAAAACTCTCTCTCTGCAATCACGTGATCCAACATGATTGATTTACGACATTACAACCACCATGATCAGTTAGTCACTAGCCACTCAAATATTTCTTCCTAATGATCACAATGGCAATCAGCTTACCAACTTGTGTGGACGGGAAAAGGGTTAAAACTTTATAGTTTGAAAAAGACGTTAGAAGTTCAAGTTGCAGTGTGGCAACAGTAGGTTTCACAAACGTTTCGATGGGTGCAAAGGAATTCTCTGTTTCTTCTGCAAGGGAGCCTGTGGATGATGTATTTCCTTTGGAACTCGCCACTTGAACTTCTATGTCAGATGTGGGTAGAAATTGGGGTCGCGGAGAGGGATCATCAGGTGCCATAGGTGTTGTGCAGGAGAAAAGGAGAGATGCAATGTGAACTACGTCTTTATTGGGGCTTTGACAGGGAATGGGTCCTGATGGAACTGCTTTGGGTGCAGTAATTACTGGTGTAGCTCGGATATGGCTAAATGTAGTGGGTTTCCCCGACTAAACGTCAGTAGCAGTGCTCAGTTGAAGACTTGTAATAGTGCTTTGAGTTACGACAGCATCAAAGCCAGGGCACTCATTTACTGAGGAAGTTGTGAACGAAGCCATCGTAACACATTCCATTATAGTGACTGTCGTCTAGAGCGGCAGGGAGCCAGCATCCCTCTCCTGTGTAATGAGCTGCGTGGGTGCTGTGGCGTTGATAGATCGTAAAAACCATAGACTATCTTTAGGAGTGTGAAGGCCTATTTATGAAATAATTATGATAATAAACAAATAAACCAATCATGTTGGGAAATGACGCATGCGTAACTATTTGGCATCCTTTGTAAATTCTCCTAGTTCTCTGCGCTTTAATTCTGAAAATAATAATGTATACTTACTGCCTTCTCGCTGCTTTTCCCATAGATGCCTCTCTAATTCCCCATGAGCATAAGTGCACAGTTCCTTTTGACAGGACGTTTTAGCAGCAAAGTGCGTGCATACATTAAGAGGGGCGTTGGGGGGAATCTTACCAAAAGATAATGGCCTTATTACTTGCCAGTAACGGTGGATGTCATTCCAGACGGCGTAATTTATTAAACAACGATCCTCACACCATTTACAGGTCTTAGCCTGCGCGTAATCGCATGTTGGCCTTTTGCTCAAAAAGTGGCCACAAACGACTAAAACCTTTTCAAGAATGGGTACACGATTGCCTAAACCAGTCAACTGATCCGCATGAGTATTGGTCGTGATGGCTATTCCACTGCCTTGAAAACCCTGGATGATTGGGGCTGGCGTGGTAATCTTTGCCACTGTTCAGATGTTGGAGGGGTAAAAGAAACAAGGAATTCCCTGGCTGTACAGGAATTATCCTAAGTGATTGGTCGCTGTTCACGTCAACAAAAATGGGTTGGTTTGAAGGTCGGTGAGCTGCTTTTAAATTACTCCAGACAGCATCAGAAGAGCTCGCTGATACCTGAAAAGAGCTTCTCTCCAAAGTTGGAAAGTCTTCAGAAGAACTAAAGATTTTCCTTTGACTTCTTCTCCGACTCGTGTCGCAGACCAGGTTTCTAGAGGCAACACTGGCGAATGTTGTCTGCTCCTGCGATGCCACAATTGTTTGAGATGTTAAACCGCTTGGTTTTTTATTCGCAGTTGTGACTGCAGTTATGGCTTGACGTTGCAAGAACGTATGCTGAGCTCTGTCTTTCTGTTATAGGTAACATTTCCTCCATAGTTTGAGAATTCGGCTGTTGGCTAGCAGCAACAACAGATGACTGACGATTCTCGTCGGATGGATCAATCCAATCAGGACTGGAAACCTTCCCTAAAAACATCTGTTGATAACCTTGGGAGGGCAACGAGGGAGGGTGGCTAGTGTTCGGTACAGGAATGAACTCTTCACCGTCGGATACCTCGTATCCATCGAATTCGATGACATTAATTAAGTGTCGACGATAAGATAACTGTGTTGAAATAGTAGTAGTAGTAGTGAACTTTATTTATGTGTCGTGAAAACCTAGCGCATAGCACTAATTGGGGACACAGGGTTAAAG